TCCCAAATCATTTAATAAATAACATCTCCATCGAAATCAGGTGCTCTTTCACAAAGAGCCTTAAGCAGATGTATATAAATTATTTGATGATTACCTTCTTAGATATGTTTTGCCTGTGTATGGATCCCTGCTCTCTGGTCGTGCATTAATTGTCATGAGTGCAGTTTGGTCAGCAGAGGTACCACTATTAAGAGCATGTATGTGTTAGGAAAAGGTTTTCTTTGTAGAGTATGTGTGCTCAGTGTAGGATCAGCATTCATACTCACACAACAAACAGTGAAACAGGCATGCAGGCTCTGCTGCAATCCCTTTCACAATGGCTCTTTGCTGCTATGAGTCTGATAGCTGCCCTTTCAGCATCCAGAGAATAATGTCCTGAGCCCAAAAACATCAGAGCTGGGCAAGTGACTTTTCATGTCACCACAACTCCTGTTACATTGGCATAGTGAAGGAGAGGGCTGGGTCAGGGTAGCAATGGAATGACCTAGAAGGTACTCAGGGTGTCTTGGGTAGTGATAGTGCCCCTTAACTCCTCTCCAGACTTGAACTATATCCTTGCTGAGTCAAATTTGGACTTTGGCTTGTTAAGCTGACACCTTGATGTTTGAAGAAAACTTGTAAGTAAAACAATACCCACTTGGCATAGTGAAGGAGAGGGCTGGGTCAGGGTAGCAATGGAATGACCTAGAAGGTACTCAGGGTGTCTTGGGTAGTGATAGTGCCCCTTAACTCCTCTCCAGACTTGAACTATATCCTTGCTGAGTCAAATTTGGACTTTGGCTTGTTAAGCTGACACCTTGATGTTTGAAGAAAACTTGTAAGTAAAACAATACCCACTGCATAGATGTTTTTTTTAGGAAGGAAGGCAGATGCAACCTATTACTAGTGGTATTTATTACTTTCATTATTGCAGTGTCAGGGAGACTTAGAAATAGATCTGGATACTGCTGTATCAAGTGCTGTGAAAATACAGTCCCCCAGGACCACTTCTGTCCAGAAGAGCTCTATAAAATCCCAAGCTTAAGGCCAGAGACAGTAAATGGATGTGGAGAGACAAGGAAGCTCAGGTGTAAAGGTAAAAAGGACTGTTCCCAGGGTTTTGCAAAGATATTCTGCTTATGAAATCATGACAGCCAAAGGGGATCTGGTGGTGTGCTCATATAGAGAAACTTCTAGCTTAGCACTTGGACTGCAAACTTCATCCTTGGCAACAGACCCCTGATGTTTAAAGAATCCTAACTCAGCTCTGTGCTGTGAACATCCTGTTTGTTTTCTTTTCTTCAGATCTGCACCAGCAGCACAAAGAGGACCTGTATCTTCAGACAGAGGAGGCAGCTGGAACAAGCTCATGTTTGTTTCTTTTGCAGGCTTTTTGTTCAGATTTGCTTTAGTGTCCTAAGTTAATCAACTGAATCCGTATCCTCTGTTTGCCTCAGCTGGCTATAAATTTGGTTTCAACTAATTTCTAACTGCAATTTCACCCTACTTCTGGGACTGGCAAACTTGCATATTAAAACCTTGTGTGCTAGATACCAGCATCTAGATAACAGCTACTTTTAGTATCAAAAATTATCCTACTGCAGCTAGAAAGCCTCACCCTTCATTTCCTTTTCTTGGTTAGAAGACATACATTGTTATTTCCTCTCATATCTTTCTCCAGAAGTAAACTAAGAATAATGTTTCCTGTTCACATATTTCAGAAAGAAGAGTAAAACTATGGCTGTCATACGCCTCCCACGCAGATTACTTGTTTGTGAAACCATCCTAGCATTTGGCCTTTGAAACTAAGTGACTGAATATCATGTTTTGGAGAGGGGAAATATGAAATCAGGTGGGAGAGAGCTTAGATTGCACACTTGATACAAGACATAATAGGTAAGACAATGTAAAATTAAACTAATTTTCATAAGTGGTCCAGTACTTAGATGAAATTTACCTGAAACTATTGTACAGCAAGTTTCTGCCTCCCATACTTGCATACAGGATTTTACCACATAATATCAATTGCTTCATCATCCACATAGTTGTCCCTCAGCTGGCTGTTTCCTGGCCACTGGATAGCAAATAGTCAGAAATACCAAGACTAGAAGGTTCCAAAGTTTTTCCACCATGATGTGATTTATGGCATATCAAATTCAGACAAGAACCTGCCAAGTCAGACATTGGGCTGCTTGCAGTGAACTCAGTTACAATGCTTCAGAATATACTGAGGAGAGAGCAGATGCCATCCTGAAGGTTTCTTATTGTTGTTAATTGTCATAGTGTTCCAGCTAGATGCTCCTCTAAAGCACCAAGACATCCAGCTACCAATGACACATGAATCTTCAGAAGAAAATAGTTATTCCACTAGAGAGTAACTTCGTGTAGAATTTTGTAGCACATTCTGTGTTAGCTTCTGTATTATTTATTTGTGTTTATATTAGCTGGTTGCCAGGAAACTGAAATAGGATGTTCCTGTTATCTCAGTGAATCTGACTTAGGACTTCATAGTAGATTTACATCCTTTCAGACCCTGATACAACTGTATCATGTTGGATGCTTGAAAGATAAGATATCTAAAATATGTTGCTGCTTATTTGTTTGGCTTCTGTTCCTGTAATAATCTCTGATTTGGTTTTAATGCAAATCTCTTTATATTACACACACAGTTGAAGTTTGCCTGTGTCACAGCTGGGTTTAGGCTCCAACTTGAGGGATTTTTGTGTCTGATTCAGACACTTGCAAAAGTACTGAAATTAAAAGTTACAAACCTTTGGAAGTCTGCGCTGTATTACACCTCAAAATTATTCCCTATATGCTGTAACATTTATCCTTTGATTAGTTCCTTCAACATCATCCTCATTTTTACTGCTTGTTTGATTCTGTCCTTAAAGCAGCTGCTGGATTAATAAGAGAGGTATCTGTAACACAGACACATCTCCAGATAACTAAACTCAAGCAATTTTGATCCATCTTCTATTTGCCCACAGCAGATCACATTGTGACACATTTTGGGCCACAGGCTGTAGAGATAACACATACGATGCTCACAGATAGGTATCCAA